GCCTCAAAATCTATGAATATAACCAACCCATTGAAATTATTTGGCTAAATTTTGTTATCAGTTGATATTCAAGTGCGTGAATCATATACTTTGTACTGCGTATGAGATTGAAGGCAAAAATACGTATATTATACGGAGTAATACATCACTCCCTCCATCAATTTTTTATTTAATTAGTACTCCCTCCGTCCCGAAATAAATGTTCTGCTTTCCCGAAATGGATGTCCCAAAATAATTATCTTACTTTGAAACTTTTCCTATTTGGTAAACAAATCTATACAAAACAGTGTCAAACAGTGCAAAACAGTGTCGTTACAGTGTCAAACAAAGTCGCTACAGTGTGAAGTCAACTTCATTTTCTTAATCTGTGTGAAGGTCAAAGTAGGATAATTATTTCGGGACAGAGGGAGTATTTCATATACGTATGTTGTAATAATATTAATAGCCTTTATGATGATGATTGCTTTCACTTGAGTATTTTTGAGCTATTTCAGTCAAATCAATAATTTCAAGTGTTAACCAACCATTCCAACTCACTGGAGGGAAGGTTACCGTGTCCTAGGGGAGGTCTCGGGTTCGAATCCCGCTAGGCACATTTAGGGGAGAGGAGGGAGGTCTTGCTCCCAATGATTCTTCCTACTTTCACGGAGTTGCTCAGCGGCTGAGAAGGGAGAGGATGATAATGAAGGTAGCGGGTTCGTGTGGTGTGAGGAGCAACCTGAAAGGTGATGTAAGTCCTGCTGGATTCGTCTTTTGGAGTCAGTACTTGTTGGGTGTGTTTCGGAAAATAAAAGAAATTAATTAAAATAAATTAATTAAATAAAATGACTAGAGAAAACCAAGAAAGGAGATGAAGCAAAATTAGTCAAAACTCGTGCTACGCACGATGTCCTTAAAACGTATTTGTTGCCTCCCACGGTGTTAGGAGCGTAGCAACAATCGTTTCCCAGGATACGATGACTACGAACTAATGTTTGAGCACACAAACAAGAGTTCCAGCGAACGAGAACCAAGTATGAACACAGAAGGAATTTTCAGAGTAGCTGTAGGTGTTTTTAGCTCAAGAAATTCGTGAGGAATGTATTGTGCGTTGTTAAACCTTGTGTTTGTTGCAAAGCACCTGCCAGCCTTTTATAGGAGGATTTGTTGTGTGTTAAATGGGGTGTTAATGGGGTGTTGGACATCAATGACCAGTCCGTTGGGCATTGAATCATCCATAAACTGTCCATTTAACGTTGCATTAAAAGACAAGAACGTTGGGCATTTAATGGTTGTAACGGCTTGGAGCAGTTCTGGTGCGCGATCAGAATACCCCTATCAGAGTTGGAGCAGTTCTGGTGCGCGATCAGAATACCTCCACCAGGTGGAGCAACTCTGTTGCGAAGCCACCAGAGTTCGAGCAACCCTGATCCTGGGAAAAATAAATCGTTACGGGAAGAAACAAAAATTAGACCGTATCTTTGAATGATACGGTTTTCGGACGACATTCGTGTCCGCAGGTTGCCCGCGCACACGAATCGCGGTTTTTCTTCTCCGTTTCGGGATTTGATCGGCACCCCCCCCTGCGCGTAAGAGAGAGCCTTTACCATTAGGAATCTTGACTCCTTAAAAGAGGCTTCCCTTTATGAGGGGGTGAAAATCCCTTGAGTTTTTCGGTGTAGCATAAAACACACTAGAAACCCATCATTTTCTCAGTTTTTCCATTTCAATGAGTGAACTTCGAGAATCAATTTCTTATTCACCCGTTATCCGTTTTGAGTGTACCATATATCGAATTGTAGCCCTTAACAAGGACAATCCGAAACCACTTTGACCCGACCCAAATCGGAAGTGGACCCCACTCAAATAATTACCCCAAAATGACCATTTAATGCAATTTTAACACATTTTTCCAACAGTACTAACGAGGCTGACTTTGATCAGATCCGGATTTAACTGTCCAGAGGCTTTGGAGGGTAGTTCATAGACTCCAGGATTATGGGAGCGTAAGCTCCGACACCTGTATTATCAAAAAAATCAAGTGTTGTGCGGTCATTATCAAACAATCCATTTAGGTAGGGGTGGCGGATGATTTTTTCTTAATATTGTAGTGTAAAGTTTTTATGTTCATTTACATAAAACATTTGTGCACCGGGCTTTTAGTCAACTTTTACATTAAAAAACATTTGGGATTTGGGACCCTTTCGTGAACTCTGGCTGTCCAATTAACTTTAATATTGCTTTAAACTCATTCCAACTCAAATTTATGGATTTAGCCCTTCTTACATATTCAAATATCACTATCTATCACCTAAAAACTTTTGGCTCAATAAACTTTCTTGTCCAAAATAGCTTGCCCAAAGCATGTGAAATTTGGAGTTTATATCGGCTCATCAAACTTTTTGTTTTGTCCATGCCACCCATTTGTACGTTTATTAAGATAAGTTCCGGAGATTTGGGTGGAATTGGCCAATGAACCAGGTGATCGAACGAGAACATTCGTGCATGTTTTACTGTTGATCTTCGTTTTTGGTAAAAGAAAGTTTCTGTTCAGATCCCTACTTAATTAGAGAGGTTCTAGAAAATTGTAGAGCTTTCTAGAGAAGTATAGAATTTTCTAGAACGTTGCGGAGAATCCTAGAGAAGTCTAGAACTCTCTAGAAGCTTGCGGAATAATGTGAAATCCTCTGAAATATTCTAGAGATGTGTGGAACCTTCCGGAAGCTTATGGAAGAGTATGGAAGCATATGGAAGAGAATAGAGAGGTGTAGAGATTCCTTGAAATTCTCTAGAATAGGTAGTCATGTAGATCATTCTAGAGAAATATTCTCCACCACTCATTATGGAGGTGGAGTAGTATAAATAGGAGTAGGAGCCTCCATTCCTAACTATCCCAATCCTAATCCTAGCAATCCTAGCAAGAGAGAATCCACTTCCTAGAGTGAGAAAGCTAGAGAGTTAGAGAGCCTCTTCGAGAGAGAAGAGAGTTAGCTTGGGAAGGTCATATCCTCAAGCTTGAGTGAGCCACCATTGAGTGAGACAATTTTGTAACATTCTTGTAAATCCTACTATTCTTTTGTATAGTGGAAGAATCTCCATATTGGAGATTTAAATCGTGTGCTCCCATTACTACCTTAATTCCTAAGTGTCTATCTTAACTTCACCAAGCGGGAAATTCCGGAGTTTTTTTACCAACAGTTCCTAATACTTTAGGCAAGGCTCTCCATCCCCGATCTTGTATAACGACCGGGTCAATATATTGAAATGAAGTTATAGACTAATTTTAAATTTGGTTCCGGTTTTGGACCGAGACCGCCTAAGATGTTTTTAGTTGAACAGTAATTTGCTGATCTGATCTGGTCTGTTTAAGTCTGGTCTGCTTTGGTCTGAACTGATCGGGTTTGGTCTGGTAAACGCTTGATCTCTGTGTATTTTATAACTAGGGAAATCAAGTCTGGTCTGGTCTGGTCTGTTTAAGTCTGGTCTGGTCTGGTCTGTTTAAGCCTGGTCTGGTCTGTTTAAGTCTGGTCTGGTCTGAACTGGTATGGTAAACGTCTGATCTCTGTGTATTTTATAACTAAGGAAGTCAGGTCTGGTCTGGTCACATTTGGTCTTGTCTATTTAAGTATGGTATGGTCTGCTTAAGTCTGGTCTGCAATTGAAAACGGTCCCAGTAAAAACATCCCTAGTCCTTGCCAACTTGGCCAGATCCGACCCGGTTATTTGCGGTTCAAGGCACCTGATCGGTACGGGTCCTACTTTCTTTTTTTTTGCCGAGTTCCAAGACCGAAACTGGGACCATCCGATTCGATTCCATAGTGTACTGGACCCGGTTCCGAACCGGGCTAGACCACCAGACCGAGTACATGCTTAATTTCATGTACAGTGTAGCAAAACAAATCACTTTATACATCGTCATTCTAATGATTTATAAAGTACATACAAAATGTTTTATCATTCTCCCACACAAAACATTTTACATTTAATAGTGAAATGTTTTAAAAATGTCATACTGTTTAATATTACGTATAAAAAAGGGAAAACTGTCAAATAGGTCCTCGAACTTTCATAAAAAATTCAATTAAGTCCTTCTATATGAGACTCTGTGCGGTCGTCGCGATTTAGGGCGGTTCCCGGTGGAATTTTTTGATGATTTTTTTTAGCATCTTATTCATCAAGTCTAGTTTATTCATACCAAATTTCAGCTAAAAAATTAATCGGGAGCGCATTCAAATAAATTTGAGAACGCAAAAATGTGCAGTTGTCTTCAAGAATTAATTTGTATGTGTTCCCGATTGAATTTTTAGCTGAAATTTGGTATGAGTAAACTAGACTTGGTGAATAAGATGCTCAAAACATTTCATCAAAAAATTCCACCCGAAACTGCCCCAAATTGCGACGGCCGGACAGAACCTCTTATAGAAGGACTTAATTAACCTTTTTATGAAAGTTCGAGGATCTGTTTGACAGTTTTCCCTATAAAAAATGTAAACTATTTCATCCCTAAAGATTATGAATGGTAGTGAAATAAACTATTCATAATATACATATCCGTCAAATGTCAAAAATATGCTCTGTAAGTTAACAAAAAGCTACACTTAAATAACAACAACATTCAAATATTAGTTTATACCAAAATAACGGAGTAGTTTTCTGTAAAATAACGACATGAGCATTATGAGCAATACATACATAACATAGTTACGAAGAAAATGTATTCATAATAATAAGGTTAGGCTTGGTTGTACATTTGTACCATATTTTATAATCAGATAATATCAGATCGACCAATTCAACAAAATTGAATTGTATTATAGGATCGAACTTCATTAAAGAATACGCACTAAAACAAATGAATATGCACCATAGATCGGATTGGATTTTCAGAGAAAATGCATTGAATATGGAAGAAGGAGAAGAATGTGGAAAACTTTATTCGTACTTCATAATTACAATCAACAACTGTATCTGTATTTATACAAGCCTACTGGCTAAGACTATCTAACTGTAAACTACGTGAGCATCAAGTTGTTAAATTCAGTTCGAACTAACTGAATTGATAGTTAGCTTAGCTGGTAATTCTGGAGTCTTCTTTTCTTGATCATCACCGTCTTTATTACTCCAATACTCCCCCTCAAAATGTGCATACATATTGTATATGCTCATCTTGCTTGATAAAAACTGCAAAGGTTTTGCTGATATTCCTTTAGTGAACATATCTGTAATTTGCATTTCAGTTCTCAAATGTACCATTTTGAACAATCCTTTCATATATTCTTCCCGCACGACATGGCCGTCTATTTATATATGTTTTGTGTGTTCATGGAAGACTAAATTTGATGCTATATGTAGAGCAGCAACATTATCACAAAATAACAGGCATTTATCTTCTTGCTCAACTCCCATATCTTCTAATACCCTCATCAACCATTTTAACTCACATACTCCTGCAGCCATTGCTCTGCAGCCATTGCTCTATATTCTGCCTCTGCTGATGATCTTGATACTGTTTGTTGCTTTTTAGATTTCCATGAAACCAAAGAACCACCCACAAAAGCACAGTAACGAGTTATTGATCTCCTTGTATCTTTGCATGCTGCCCAGTCAGCATCACAATACATTCGAATTTGCATGTTATTTTCTTTTGAATATAGTAATCCTTGTCCTGCAGTTCCTTTGATGTAACGTACAACTCTCATTGTTGCACCAAAATGTACATCAGTTGGTCTAGCAACAAATTGACTGAGTGTGTTAAGTGCATGTGAAATATCAGGTCTGGTTACTGTTAAATACAGTAACTTCCCAATGATCTTTCTGTATTCTTTGGGATCATCTAACATCTTTCCAATGTATTGCCTAAGATTGTTATTTTGATCAATGGGATATAGAGATGGTTTAGCATCCAATAATCCACATTCATTTACAATATCTAGAGCATACTGTCTTTGTTTAATGCAGATTCCATGTCACGCCCCGGACCTAGCCGGACACGTCTACAACCCGCCGTACAGTACGAATAGTCAACCGTAGTCCAACTCATCCATACTATACAAGGCGTCATGAATATCATTCACACATAGTACATCCATAAACAAACATAATGTAAAACATTCATTTAAAACAGCGGAAGCATTTAATAGAAGTGGCTTAGCCACACTTTGGCAAACATGGGCATGCAAGCCCCCAAATAGTTATTCAAAATAATATCCATGAGCAATATTATAATTGTTTTGAAAACAGGAAACAGAAGAAGCACGAACCACGTCTTCTCCCTTGAAAATCCCCGAAGCAACGGGCGCCGGTAGCAACCTTCAAGTTCTACCTGAAACTGTGAGGTGGCCTCCCCCGAAGCACGAACCACGTCTTCTTATGTGTTACCGCTACCGGAACCTAGTTAGGTCTCCGATTCGGATTCCACTCTAACCCGTGATCACGATGTAAGTCCATGCTATCCAACCCCGCTCTCTAGAGTCGGGAAGGGCCATGGTCCTTACTATTTCCATAATTCAACCGGCTATCCACAAGAATCACCGATCACACCCGTAGGCCAATCCTATACTTAGGATCAATTTAATATTCACACTATCTTGGGTATCCCTTAAGGCCTACCCCTAGTATAACTTAAAGTTCATACTTTCCTATCTTAAAGCATCTCTTAAGACTACTTAAGGCATAACATTTCACAATCCAACCTTTGGATCAATCTTAACAACATTTCATTTTAATGTCCAACTAGTATCTTAATACTAGTCAAATTAATATCAACAAACCAAGTTCTCAACTCATAGTCATATAGACAATCCCAACTGATTTTCCTTTGAAAACATCATTTATCTCAATATCCAAAATATCACTTTTAATCACTCATATATTCTAATATGAAGAAAAAGTATATTTCAACACATGTTTCATAATAAATTCCACTTTCAAGTCGACATAGTCATAACACATGAACATACACAATTTATTCTTAAATTTGTATATCATGATCCTTTTTCTCTAGACATTTAGCCTTTTCATTCTTAGGCATTATTAATCATTAATAATCCATAAAAACACATTTAATTACCTTCGGTAATCTCATGAAATTAACTCACTAATTATACGCAATATAGTCAGCCATCCTCACCTCGAATTTGCTTGAAGAAGCTCTACCCTTCTAGGTTGAACTCCGGCAATACTCCGGTGAACTCCGGCGAAACTCCGACGAGACTCCGGCGAGACTTAGGAACACTTTAGTCAAGTTCCTAACAAGGTTTTATCATCACAAAACCCATATCAACACAAATAACCCTTGAAAGGTTATTTTCCGGCGAACCGGTCATTTGGCTTCTAAGTCCGTTCTTGGACTTAGAACTACCTTCCAACCCCTTGTTCTACACTTCTAAACATTAAGAACAATCATAGGGGTTCTAAGTATGATATATAAGTCTTAGGGTAGCTAAGAAGTAGAGAAAAAGTTAGTATGAGGTCATTACCTTGATTGTTCACACTTTTTCTACCTTTCTTCTTCTCCAAACCTCTTCTTTTTTTTTCTTGTTTGAGCTTGAGCTCGAGTTGGCTATGGAAGGTGAGGTTTTCAGAGCTCCTTGGACTTCTTTTCTTGGTGCTGGACGAGTACAATGAGTGGGAGAGGAGGGAGGATGGTACTTTTGTCCTTGGTTGACAATTGGGTGAGGTTAGGGGTCCCTTAGGTGTCAAGATGGTCTCCCCCATCCCTTCAATGGATTTCAGCCACCCTTTAGCTCATGCCAGCCTCCAAGAGCTGGGAAAATTCATGGGTTGGCCCCCACTTGTGTGGGAGGTCACCCCTTTTTGTCCAGGCGTGCACCATCGGTCCCGAAAGTTGCATTTTTCGGCCCGTTTTATTCATATTTTATTTTATCGGGCCAAATAAAATATATGAAGTGTCCCTAATAATTATGGACCTTTAGAATAGATGTATATTCCCCAACATTAATTTAGGAGTCTCCGAAACTCATTTCGTACTGTTATCCGTTAAATTGCCAATACCGGTAATTGGGCCCCGTTTGACCAACCGGTCAACTCCATGCCTTTCTCATGGCCGAAATAAAATATCCACCACCATATACATATTATCTAGACCAAGATGAATATAATATGTGGTTCGGGAATTATCGGGCGGTTCACGTTCCCGCTGTGGGCCCCACATGCAATTTACTATTCACGTAAAAGAAATAATGAAATTTAACAATTACGTAAATTCATAAATCATCCTTCAAGGTCTATTACATAATTTACTAAAAGTAAATATGCTCGGGGTCGGTGTTACAAGTTCACCACCCCTTAACGGGAATTTCGTCCCCGAAATTCACGATGCTCATTCAAACAAAAACGCGTATTGCTCTTTCATCAACGCTTCCGTTTCCCAAGTTTCCTCTTCGACTCGGTCACTTTTCCAAAGGACTTTAACCATTGGAACTTTCTTGCTTCTCAATTTCTTGACTTGCCTGTCAAGTATCTTCACCAGTTGCACGACATAATTCAAGTCTTCCCGTATCTCCACGGGTGGTTTTTCTAATACATGAGATGGATCCGGCATATACTTCTTAAGCATAGACACACGGAATACGTTATGTATCTTCTCCAATTTTGGAGTCAATTGTAATCGGTATGCCACGGCCCCAATCCTCTCGAGAACCACGAATGGCCCTATGTATCGTGGGTTAAGTTTCCCTCGGCTCTGAAATCGGATGATTCCCTTCCAAGGTGAAACTTTCAAAAATACTTCATCTCCCACCTTAAACTCCAAGGCTCTTCGGCGCTTATCGGCATAACTTTTCTGTCTATCCTGGGCCGCCTTAAGTCTCTCACGAATCATCTTCACCTTAGACTTGGTGATCTCCACCAATTCCGTGCTCTCGAGTTTGGCCATGCCGACTTCATCCCAACACAACGGTGTACGACATCTCCTCCCATACAATGCCTCGTATGGAGGCATGCCTATACTTGCCTGATAACTGTTGTTATAGGCAAACTCCACAAGTGATAAATGGTTGTCCCAACTCCCTTGGAACTCCAATGCACAGGCTCTCAGCATATCCTCTAATATCTGTATAACCCGCTCAGATTGCCCATCCGTTTGTGGATGAAAAGCTGTACTGAATTTCAACTTTGTCCCCATAGATTCTTGGAATTTCGGCCAAAATCGTGATGTGAATCGCGGATCTCTATCGGATACAATGGTTATAGGAACCCCATGTAGCCTCACGATCTCGTCCACATATAACTTGGCTAACCTCTCCAGTGCATAGGTAGTGTTGATAGGTAGGAAGTGTGCACTCTTTGTGAGCCTATCGACAATAACCCATACGACATCATAGTTCTTAGCTGTTCGTGGCAGCCCCACCACGAAATCCATAGTTACGTGCTCCCACTTCCATTCAGGAATGGAAAGTGGCTGTAGTAACCCAGCCGGATGCTGATGTTCTACCTTAACTTGCTGACAAGTAAGGCACCTACTGATGTACTCGGCTATTTCCCTCTTCATACCCGACCACCAGTAACTTTCCTTCAAATCACGGTACATCTTCGTGCCTCCCGGGTGCATGGCATACGCCGATGAATGAGCCTCCTCTAAGATGGACTTTCGGAGCTCATCATCCAGCGGTACACACACTCGGTCACGAAATAATAAGAGACCATCGTCGCTCTCCCTGAAATCCTCAACCGGTCCCGCTAGCATGCGTTCACGGATCTTTATAATTTCTTCGTCGGTTTCTTGACCCTTCTTGATTTCATCAAGTAATGTAGGTCTCACCTCGAATCTGGCTAATAAGGCACCATCGCTAGATACCTCCAATTGGGCCCTCAATGCCCTCAAGCTAGTCACTAATGCCCCAGATGAATTCTTCCGGCTCAAGGCATCCGCTACCACGTTGGCTTTACCGGGGTGGTACTCGATAACTAGATGGTAGTCTTTTATCAACTCCATCAACCGTCTCTGTCTCACGTTTAACTCTTTTTGAGTGAACACGTACTTCAGGCTTTTGTGGTCAGTGTATATATGACATGTTTCCCCGTAGAGATAATGTCTCCAAATCTTCAATGCGAACACCACCGCCCCCAGTTCTAAGTCAAGAGTGGGATAATTTACCTCATGCTTCTTCAAATGTCGTGAAGCATAGGCAATCATCCTCCCATTCTGCATCAAGACACATCCAAGCCCTTGGATGCTTGCGTCGCTGTAGACATCGTACCCCACACCCTGTTTGGGTAGTGCGAGTACCGGCGCCTCGGTCAATCTCTTCTTCAGTTCAAGGAATCCCTTCTCACATCGGTCATCCCATACAAACTTGGCCCCCTTTCGAGTGAGCTTTGTCAATGGCGATGCCAAAACCGAGAACTTCTCCACAAATTTCCGGTAATACCCTGCCAATCCAAGGAAGCTACGAATTTCCTTGACGTTCTTTGGACTCTCCCATTCAGTAATGGCCTCAATCTTCTTGTTATCTACGGCAATACCTGACCCCGAAACCACATGCCCGAGAAAGCCAATTTCCCTTAGCCAAAATTCACATTTGGAAAACTTGGCATAGAGTTGCTTCTCCCGTAGTGTCTCAAGAACAAGTATCAAGTGCTCAAGTCAATCTTCGAGAACACCGTCGCCCCTCGGAGCTGATCAAACAAGTCATCAATCCTAGGCAAGGGATACCTATTCTTGATTGTGACCTTGTTCAGTTGACGATAGTCGATGCACATTCGAAGCGTTCCATCTTTCTTTTTCACGAATAGGACCGGTGCTCCCCACGGAGAGTGACTCGACCTTATGAAACCGTTGTCCAATAGCTCTTGCAATTGGGTTTTCAACTCGTTAAGTTCAGCGGGTGCCATTCTGTATGGCGGTATAGAGATTGGTTTGGTGCCGAGTTCAACCTCGATCACGAACTCAATCTCCCTATCGGGTGGAAGTCCCGGTAAGTCTTTTGGGAAGACATGTAACACCCCGGCCCCGTAGGCCCCGTAGGCCCCGAGGTAGTTACTTCTGACCTCTAGTACTGTCCTCACAAACCTCTACTAGCCTTTTCCGCGCACTCTGTCCTCACTCGTGCGCACCCTAAGAAACTTCCCAGGGGGTCACCCATCCCAAGACTACTCCCGTGCAAGCACGCTTAACTTTGGAGTTCTTGGTGATGAGCTCCCTTAAAAGGAGATGCATCTTGTTGGTATGAGTAGTACTATTAATTCTCTTAAATTAATCTCGGGTATTACAATCACCCCCACTTAGGATCGCAATGTCCTCGTTGCGCCCTTCACACTCTTAATCAAACCCCAGTATCTTGCCACGCTAAGTGCCTGCCCGATATCTAACGGGTCAACACACTGTCGCAGGGTTGCTCTGATACCATTTGTAACACCCCGGCCCCGTAGGCCCCGAGGTAGTTACTTCTGACCTCTAGTACTGTCCTCACAAACCTCCACTAGCCTTTTCCGCGCACTTTGTCCTCACTCGTGCGCACCCTGAGAAACTTCCCAGGGGGTCACCCATCCCAAGACTACTCCCGTGCAAGCACGCTTAACTTTGGAGTTCTTGGTGATGAGCTCCCTTAAAAGGAGATGCATCTGGTTGGTATGAGTAGTACTATTAATCCTCTTAAATTAATCTCGGATATTACAAGACATCCGGATACTTGCACACTACTCTCACATCATTGATGTCTATCTCTTCTTTGGTTTTGTCCACCACATACGCTAGGTACGCGTGGCATCCCTTTCTCATCATATTCCTTGCCCTCACGGCGGATATGATACAACTGTTTGATTTGCCTCTATCTCCCTCGAAGCGTAAGGTCAACCCTTCACCGCCTTCGAGTTCAAGAATCTTTGTGTAGCAATCGACCCTAGCATGATTTTTCTCCAGCCAATCCATCCCGAGGATTGCATCAAACTCGATCATGCTCAGCGGTACGAAGTCGCACGTCAAGTTCTGTCCCTCCACCTCCACCTCACACGATGGATAGTGGCTATCTCTCTCGATATCATCCCCTAGAGGCGTGGACACCAATAGGGTTTGAGTCATCGGTACAAGTGGTCCGTTGAATCCGCTGGCGAACGCCTCACTCACAAATGATCGTTGCGCCCCGGTATCAATAAGGATCCTTGCGTCTCTCCCGTTTATCTTTAGTGTTCCTACATTCAATAGGCTTGTTTCTCAAGTCATAGAGTATGTTGGTTGTGGTTCGGGTGGGGTCCGTTTAACACCCGTCCGAAATTTCCCGGTTTCTAGCCTTTAGGACCGTTCCAGGACAAATCCAGGTGAAAGCCGGCCGCTTTTCACGAAAGCCGGCCGGTGTTCGTCTGCGAGAAAAATCCCTCCATGAAAATCACGAAAGCCGGGCGGCTTTTACGAAAGCGGGCGGTTTTCGTCGCCGTAGTTTTTATTCAGGGAAAGGTTTCGAAGCCGGCCGGTTTCTACGAAACCCGGCCGGGTTTCAGCAGCTCAGGAGTCCCCTGGCCTATCGAAAGCCGGGCGGCTTTCACGAAAGCCGGGCGGCTTTCAGCTGCGAGAAATTCTCCAGGTGGGGTATTTACGAAAGCCGGCCGGTCTTTACAAAAGCCGGCAGGTTTTTTGGTTGCGAGAATTTTTCTAAATT